CCTCCTCCCGCCATACTCCTCCCTCCTCCCTCCCGCCATAGTCCTCCCTCCTCCCTCCCGCCAAAGTCCTCCCTCCCGCCAAAGTCCTCCCTCCTACCATAGTCCTCCCTCCCTCGTCCCGCCATTGGCCTCCCTTCTCCCTCCCGCCATACTCCTCCCTCCTCCCTCCCGCCATAGGCCTCCCATCTCCCTCCCGCCATAGGCCTCCCATCTCCCTCACGCCATAGTCCTCCCTCCTCCCTCCCACCATAGTCTACCATAGCTTCCCTCCCTCCCACCATAGTCCTCCCTCCTCCCTCCCACCATAGTCTACCATAGCTTCCCTTCTCCCTCCTCCCTCCTCCCTTCGAAGTGGCTGCTTGCCTCCTCTCTCCCATACTCCTCCCCCCTCCCTCCCACCATACTCCTCCCTCCTTCCTCCCGCCATAGTCCTCCCACCTCCATCCCGCCATACTCCTCCCTCCTCCATCACGCCATACTCCCCTCCTCCATCCCGCCATACTCCTCCCTCCTCCTTCCCGCCATACTCCTCCCTCCTCCATCCTGCCATAGTCCTCCTTCCTCCCTCCGGCTATAGTCCTCCCTCCTCCCTCCCGCCATAGGCCTCCCTTCTCCCTCCCGCCATACTCCTCCCTCCTCCCACCATAGTCCACCATAGCTTCCCTTCTCCCTTCTCCCTCCTTCGATGTGGCTGCCTTCCCTCCTCCTCTCTCCCTCCATACTCCTCCCTCCTCCATCCGGCCATAGTCCTCCCTCCTCCCTCCCACCATAGACCTCCCTTCTCCCTCCCGCCATAGTCCTCCTTTCTCCCTCCCGCCATTTCGGTCCACACTCAGACTCGAACTTAAGTTTGAGTCCACACACAACATCTTGAGATTTTGTAGGGGATACAGAAGCTGCTGCGTTCAGCCTGTCCTGCCGCAGCTGGTGCATGCGACCAGCAGCAGTTAATCAAGCACAGGTGGGACACAGCATCTTGGGACACAGCATCTATTGTATCCCAAGATGCTGTGTCCCACGTCTTGCAAATGGACAATCTGCAATCCAACACCCCCCCTCCTGCTGAAAAACCCACACTAAAGCATATGCACGAAAATTGAAAAGGGGGCCGGTTATCAGCAGCACTCAGGACGCGCAGCAAGGCGCCGAAGTTGGAAAAAAAAAAAAAAATCACTGCATTTTTTGCATGCCCGGGGTACCCCGGGCGTGGCGCCTGGGGCGCCCGACCGGGCGCCCCGGGAAAGCTAGGCGCCAACCATTGTTTGGCCACCCACAAATCGTTGATCAGATCGGTCTAACCCTTTCCCTCAAGGGGAACTCCCAAGTGGAAACATTGGGTGAAGAAAGGAATATACAAGGTAGGGGATTTATGGGATAATCAGACCTGCTCATGCCATCCATTGGACTATCTCATAGCCAGGACCGGCCAGATCTCAACATGGCCCAGGGTCTACAAGAAATCCAAGAATCGATCCCGCTAGCATGGATTCGGACCCTGAAACTGGGCCCTCGCCTTAATGAAAATGACTGGGTTGTGACGACGGAGTCCTTGGCCCTGCCCATGCTTTTGTATACTGTGCACGACACGGGGGATCATCAGGTTTCACTCCAGGCATACTGTCCGAGCTTGCCAGGGGCTAAATGGTCAGCTCTACATTGTCAGGAAGAGTTTGACACACAACTACCAAAGTCCTCCCTCACCAGAATTAGAGTGGTCGGGAACCAAAACAACATTTTTTTTCAATACGAACCCTCCACCCCGCTGCACCACCTCCCATTCGACCCAGCAGAATGGGAGTGGACATGGGGGGATCTCAAGCAATGTCCTTGTGGCTATACACGGTGAAGAAGGGATATAGGGCAGCACAATAGCCAGTCGGGATCTCTGACCAAATAACCAAACGTTGGGAGAGGGATTCCCCATTGGGGCCACAGGAATTCAGGCACCATTCGACGGACTAGCCATAGAGCCCTGCAATGGCAAATCATAAATAGATGCCTGCCTACCCCGGATTGGATCACATCACGGACTGACCTGGAGAAAAAAGGGCTGCTCTCCCCACTGTGTTCGTAGTGCTCCAACTCATATCACAACAGGAGAGCTACTCTGGAGCATTGTTTGTTGGATTGCCCCATGGTGCTCCAACTGTGGAGGTGGTGGGACGCAAGGTGGCACTACCTTGCAGATCACAACCTCCCCTGGGAATTGTCCACCCGCCTTCTAGGAGCCCCTCCGACGGAGGTTGGAGATTGGTCACCATTCACTTACTCCAGGCTAACCGTTCTCATGGCCGCCTGGAGGATGCGCTGCTCCTATGAAAGAAAACAGCATAATTTCAGTTTCATGCAAGCCCGTTCAACGATAATTGACACGATCTCAGCTTATACGCAGGCAGCATGGAAAGAGCTGCACGACAAAATGGGTACCGAGCCAGACAGTGAGAAATGTCAAAAACTACGAAATAGTTTCACGAAGACATGGACTGACCCAAAACAGAGATTCTGTAGTCTCAACGATGATAACACCCTTACATGGCATCCCTGGCTTCTCTCTGAGAGGCTGTGGAAAAGATTGCCAACACATCACTTTCAAGTTGTCCATCAACCAACAAACTTTGTCCTCGTTTATGACTAACTGTCTTCTATTGTCTTAAGTAATGTAACCCCCCTCCCCCCTACACTCTGCACCTTCCCACCAAACCCCACCTCCCCACCTCCCCTCCTCCCCTTC